TCATTTATTTTAGGTAACAGATAAACTTGGTTAAAACTGCTTCACGTGAACGATCCAATCTGAGATCGGACTGAATTGAAAATAATTGATTCGGTTCTTGGATGATTCGATACCCAGCTTTAGTTTTGACAATCAAACCTGAAAACTATAAGTTTATTCTCTTTTTCTGCTTAAATTTCCTATTTTATTTTAGTTTTTGTAACTGTCTCTAAAAGAGGAACAAAAAACGTCACTCACGGGAAAGTTTTGCTTTATAAATATAGGATAATGTTGATAACTTTCACAATTTTTTGTATTGATTTTTAGAAAATCACCACCAAAAATGCCTTCGGCCTGCATCTGATCGATTACATGGCTGATATTCTGAAGCAGAAGGATTCGGAGATCACTAACTTCAAGGTACGTCTCTATAAAAACACCATTAAAATGGATATAAAGCATAAATGTAAATATTTGCATATAATCATATGTTTTATGTGAGTTCTAGACACATAAATCTGAAGTGGAAATGTCACATCGAAAAGTCCTTTTTTAAGGAAAAACTGGTTGAATGTTAATAGCTTTTAGATTTTCACCACATAAGACCGAATAATTAAATGTTTTTAACTTTGGTTGATGAGTTTATTTAAAGGTTCATATGATACAGATGTCCTTAGGATTCATGATATCATCTCTCAACATGTGACACTATCCATGTGTATGAAACTGATGTTGTCCTGCAGGTGGCGGCCGGTACGTTGGATGCCAGCACAAAGATCTACGCTGTGAGAGTGGATGCTGTTCATGCTGATGCCTACAGGGTGTTGGGTGGCCTCGGAGCTGAGACAAAACCTGGAGAGGGTGAGAATCCAACACTGACAGATGTTCAATGAGTTTCTTAAACCGTAGGGGGGGCACTACATCCAGGGTGACCTTTGCTTTTTAAAACCTTCCTGTAAAAATCCACACATTTTGTAGTTTGATCCCAGCATTGGTTATAAACAGGTTACCAGGAGACAAGAAGGAAATGGAAGAAAGTCCTGTTAATCGATCATGTTAACGAGAACTGAGATGGTTCCACTGAAAAGTCATCTCTCTATATCCACCAGGCTGCATAAGGAGAAATCTTTATGAGAATAGACACAGTGACACACATTAAGAAATTATATAAGCTATTAAGTGTATATAACGCAAATCTAGATGAATAAATAACTATTGATCACAAAACTTGCAACGTAAAAACCGTGTTGAAACACTGCATTTACACCCAGAACCCACAAAGAAAACTACAGAAGTTTATTGAATTTATCAACAAAAAAAAATCAGAAAGTGGGAGTTCATTACCATATTTTATCTTGTAATGCTGAGAAAATCTCGTAATTACGAGATCTTATCTATATACTTGGTTGTGATTACTTGAACCAGTAATAAAGCATCTCACACAAAGCTGGTCTTCATGATCACTTCTTAGAAATATCTGCATCTGTTCCACTGAACAGTTTTCTGTACCGACGTCTGACCTGATATAAGTGTTGGAGTTCTGCTTCTGTTTTCCATTTCATCAATAAAGTAACCCGCTCCATTAATACAGATTCTATGTGGTTTTAGTTTTTCTTATGAATCAAATCATGAGTCAAATAATTCTGGCTTAAACATGTATATAAATGTAATCTTTATCAGACATATTGTCCCAAAAGTTAGAAAATTTCTATTTTTAAAAAAATCCTGTCTTAAAATCTGGGTTTTAAACGTCCTCTTCCACAACATCTTCGTCCCCGCTTTCCTCCTCTAAATAAAAAATGGA